TCTTAATTATTAACTAACTAACTAACTAAAAAATAATTATAGCTGATTTAGGATTGGCAGATAGCCTAACAAAAACTTCTGGATACGGAATGAACCAATATGTAATTCTTTATATTACTTATAGAAAGCCTACTTTCTGAAATAATTCTTAATTTTACAGTTAGGAAACTGGCTATTCTAAGCTCCAGAATGTTATGATCCAAATAAATTTCAAGATTATGCAGATGAATACTAAAAACTAGGATTAAACATAAGCATAAAGCCAACTATTAAGGTAAATTAGTTACAATTTAAACAAATTTTAACTTGTTTTTTCTATTAAAATAGAGTGAATGTTTCTCATTAGGTAATTAATAATTTTAGTTATTTGCATATAAATATTTATCTACTTTGATTGATTATTGAACAATATATACATTAAATTCTCAATATTTTGGGTAATAGATATACTTAGATTTTTGATAAAAAAGTAAGTATAATTTATTTTGATTTTGAATTGTTTTTTTTGGCGTTTGATTTATTTCTAAAAAAATAAAATTAATTTGCTTTCATTTTAAATTTAATTTTTAATGAATAATTTTAGAAAAAATTAATTTGCTTTATTTTGAATTATATTTTTTTAGTTTTTTGTTAATTCATTTTAGAAAAAATTAATTTGCTTTTATTTTGAATTATATTTTTTTAGTTTTTTGTTAATTCATTTTTAGAAAAAATTAATTTGCTTTTATTTTGAATTATATTTTTGGTGATTGATTTATCTCTAAAGAAATATTTTAAAAAACAAAAAAAAATCAAGCTAATCTAAAAAATTAAATCATTTATTTCAAATGTATTAAATTGTTTAAAAGTTGGATTGTAAAATAATTAGTTTATAATCTTAATAGTTTTTTAATTTTATTTGTAATTTATAGTTTGAAAAGAGTATTTTTTAACATAAAATATTTTAAGTTTTTATTGAAGCAAAACTAACTAAAATCTTTTAATCATTCATTATTAAATTGTGTCAAATTATGTTAAGCAAAGAATTAATTAAATCTTATTTGTAAAACATAGATATAAATTAAATAAAAAAAACTAAAATATAATCTTAGTATTTATTTTTTTTAAGTATTTTATTAAATCACTCATTTTTACATTAATACTCAATTTTGCTTAAATAAAATATCTTTGTTTTATTTTTAATTAAGCTTTTTTTATTGTCTCTTTGTTAACTAAGCAACTTTGAATAATACCTTTTAACAAAGAGCAATCTCTTCTTCTGGTAGCTATACTGAAATTTATTAGGTCTGTAAATTTATTTAAGGTTATTGCAATAAATTATTTCCACCTAAAGCATTATTGTTTAATCCAGATAGCAATTATTTATTTTCTCTTAGAGCTTCTTTAAATTTTTGTTGAATCTAATCAATCTTTATTTTTATTAATAGAAAAAAACAAAATTAATTTTTTTAAAATTAAGTAAAATATAAAATGTTATTAATATCTTATAAAATAATGATAAAATACTAATATTTTATATGATTCAATTCAACTACATAATTTTTATAAATTAAATTGATTAAAAAGTATTAAGAGCTTTCATTCATTTCAAAAAATAAATCAATGAATAAAATATTCAGTTTGGAGAAAGCAAATGATTTTAGTAATATTCACATTACATTGTAATATAAACTACTTTAAATTTTAAACTTTTTTAAAACTTCAAAATTTCTAATCGATATAATTTAATTTGAATAATAATTATATAAAAAATTGACTTTATTATAGTTTTTAAATTATATGATACATAAATGAAAAAATCCCTTTATAAGTGATAACAAACCCCTTTTTTAAAGATATTAGTTTTCCTTTTAAACAACTATCTAATATATTCAATCTATTTATATTTTAGGTTAAAAAACACTTTTTCAAAATATTAAATAATAAAATATATAATATTATTGAAACATTTTATATTTATTCTACCTTTCACTAGTTGTTTATCATTCTTAAATTAGAGATAACTAATCTTTTTGATTTATGACACCTTCTTAATACTTGGAATTTTTATGATTCATTCATAGAGCTAAAATTTTTATAATAAATCAAATAAAAGCTATTTAATAAATTCAAGTAGCTTTTTTGTTTTACGTTCATTTTTATAATTTAAAATATCACAATCCAAAACAAATAAACTATTTTTACTCAAGGTAATGTCAAATTTGATAGATTAATACAATTTGCTAAACCAGAACCTAAGCGTGATGCACCCATTGCACGAATTTAAGAAAAAATATATCATTAATTAGTTAATTAGAAGGTAAAAATATGAAATAATAAGATTAATTAATTAATAATAAAAGCAAAAGTTGAAAATAAAATGATGAGCTAATAAATTAACAAAGAAAGAACAAAAAAAGCAAGCACAATAAAAAGAAAAAGAAATAGAAAAAAGAGCTTTATTTTTTTAAATTAGTTTTTATAATTAAGAATATCACAATACAAAATAAATAAAATATATTTTTACTGAAGTTCAAGTATCAAATATAAGAGATTAGTGCAATTTGTTAAAGCAAAACATATGCTTTATGCACCAATTTTATTATAACTTTTTTAAATATAGAAGAAAACATATATTATTAATTAATTAGAAGAAAAAATATAATATAATACGAAATTATCGTATTAATTAGTAATAAAAGCAAAATTTGAAATTAAAAAAATTAGCTAGAGTAGAATCCGACTAATAATTTTTTTTTCACCCTTTTTTTGAACCAAAATATTGAGAGTTTATTGTAGATAGATATATATAGATATTAAGATAGTTGGATATTCAATTCGATAAAATGTTTAATAAATATTAAGGTTATCTAATTTACCTTATGGTTTAAGACTTCAAAAGCACTTTAATGTTCAAGAAGCATTTGCCATTGAATTACAGCAATGAATTTGAGTAATTCACTTACAAAAACCAGCTTAAGTTCATAATTAACGGATTAACTTAATTCAAGCCAGAAGATAGGTTATCGATAAAAGACGTTTTAATTATATTAAAAGGAATTATTTCATTTGAATTTTAACTAGATTAGAAATTTATCGAATTCATGGATGATCATGATCAAACCACTTAGCAATTCATTCGCAAATTCAAAAAAGACATTGAATTTGTTTAAAATTCTTCACAGAAATTTTATCCTATTATGTAACTAACTAACTTAATTCCAACAAATTATGAATCTATTCTTAACATGTTTTCTAGTAAAAAGGAATAGGACTTCATCTAAGAGATTCTCTCAAAGCAATAGTAAGGACAGGTATAATCAATTCTAACTTATTGTTATTTTTAAATTGTGTAATTTAATAATGTTTTCAATATATTTTATAGGATGCAATAATCTCTCAGTTACGCCAATCAAATATCTAATTAGAATAACAAATTAAATCATTTAAAGATATTCAAAAGCAATTAGAAAATGAATTAAAAGCACTTAGAAATCAAAAAGTTTAGTTGGAAGCAACAACAGTTGAGTCAAATCAAACAATTATCTTGCTAAAATAAGAAATAGAAAAATTAAAGCAGACTCAAAAAACATTAGAAAATGATTTGAAAGCATAATCTAATTAAAAGCAGAATATTTAGAATTTGAATTCATTTTAACTTTTCGTTTCTTAATAGCAAATTAAAAAAAAGGAAGTAAGTTTTTTAGAAAGCAATTAAATTATTACAAATAATTTATTATTTTATCTTAATATTAAACAATCAAGGAAGAAGAAGCTTTAAAAAAGCAAAAGCAAAAACAAGAACAAGAAAAGTAATTTCAATTGCAAAAAGCTTAAAACAAGTAATAAATTAAAATTTTCTACACTTAGAAAATTAACTAAATGGTTAAGTTCATATTTAATTTAAATTAATTTAAGACAAATTTATTTTGTTTTAGTTAATTTAAATTCAATTAATTTTTACACAACAAGCCAAAAATGAAACATAAAAAGTAGTTTATAATAGAGTAATCAAACAAACAAACATATTAAATTTTTAAGAATAAATCTAAAAATATAAAAATAGAAAAAGCATATTTTCCAAAATTTTCTATTTATTTCCTCCATTTTATATTTAATGAATGTTAAAAGTTAAAAATAACTTGAATATTAATTAATGCTAGGTAAGTTGATTGATCTCTTTCTACATTGCTTGCTAAATTTATATATTTTTAGTAGATAAATTTTTATTAATTATTTAGGTAAGAGTATTTTTAAGAATGAATATCTTGCCAATTTAAATATAAAAAATAGAAATTATTTCATGATTACAAATTAATTTTGAGTCAGTAACCTTCAAACAATATCTTAAATTTTATTTTGATCAGAAATTTAATTTAAAAAAAGAATAATATAATAAGCAAACTAGCCAGCAAGCAAGCAACAAATTCTATTAAAAATTAAATAATTTTCATTTTTCAATTTAGTTTTAAAACATAATTTTTTAATTTATTTTTGAAATAGTTTGTTTTAAGAATAACTATAAATATTTTAATATTAATAAATAATAGGAAAAAGTAATTAGCATAAATATATTTATTTATTTACCAACACAAAATCTTAAAAAACAAACTTATAATTTCAGTGCAACATATACTTTTTTAATTAATTATTGGAGATTGTATCACCATCTTTTAATCTTATCTTTATAATTAGAGGGTAATATTTTATTTTATTATTATTCATTAATTTTAACTATATTATCAATTTATATTCAATTCATTTATTCATTAATTAATTAATAAATCAAATAAATAAATAGATAGTAACATTTTGAAGGAATAATTCTGATTTAATGTTGATTTAATCATTTTAAATTTAAAATAGTCTGTAAATTATTAGCTAATTTTATACTTTTTAATTAATCAATCTACTCACTCAGAATATAAAATAATTATTTATCTTTTAATTAAAAATAGGGTGTAATCATTAATTAATTAATTATTTATTAAAGAAAAAATCATCGCTTTCTTTTTGATTTAAATAAACATGGGAACTTATTTATTTATTTTAATATTCTAAATAGTTGGTAATTTATTTATTATTTTAATTTACATTCTTCAAACTATTTTATTTAGATTTTTAAATGCATGCTCAATTTATGTTTAATTTTAAAAATAGGTGGTAATTAATTAATTTAATTGATTGAAGAATTTCAGTAAGATTAAAAATTCCTGATGAATTTGTTTTCTCATTTAAAATAGCCAGTCATTCATTCATATTCTTTAAAAATTTTAGTTAGATTAAAAAATAAATCCATATTTAATTTATTTTTCAATTAAAAATAGTTAGTAATTAATTAATAAATATTCTTGAAGCATTTTAGTTAGATTAAGATAAATATACAAATCAATATACTTACTTCCATGATTGCTTACTTACTTACTGAATATATTTTAATTTTCAAAATAGTTTGTAATGAATTAATTTATGCTCAATTAGAATAAAAATAATGCTCAATTTATTTTGACATATTAAAAATAGCTAGTAATTTATTAATTAATTAATATTCTTGAAGCATTTTAGTTAGATTTAAAAAAAGATGTGAGATTGATTCATTTTATTTATTTTAAAAAATAACAAATAATAAATTAATATTTTGATTTATTTTAGTTAAATTGAAAAATAATATTTAATTTACTTTTATTTAAAAAATAGGATGTAATTAATTAATATTGTTGTAGAATTCTATATTCAAAGATGCATTCTGATATTTTAATATTCAATACAGTCAGTAATTAATTAATTAGTTTGTTAAATTTCTTGAACAATTTTATTTAGATCTAAATATGCATGCTGAATTTATTTATTTATTTCTATATTAAAAATAGTGAGTAATTAATTAATGAATGAATATTCTTGAAGCTTTTAGTTATATTGAAGGATTTTTCTATGCTAAAAAAATGTTCATATAAAAATAGGGTGTAATAAATATTAAAAGATATTTTTTAATAATAAAATTTTATATAACTTTTATTATTAAAAAATAAATAGTTAGTAATTAATTTATTAATTAATTAATCAATCACTCATTTTTAAAGATTTTATTTACATTTGATGAAACTCCACCAATAAATAAATAAATAGTCTTTAATAAATAAATACCAAAATTAATAAATAAATAAATGAATAGCGAGTAAAATTTTTAGAAACTGTCTTTTAGCTAGATAGAAAATTCAGATACAAAGTTTATTTTATTTACAATCAACTTAGCCAGTAATAAATTCAAATAATATTTCTCTATTTATATATTCATTCCCTTAGTTTATTACTAACATACATACTTACTTACTTATTTATTTAGTGAATTAGTTAGTTTTTAATAAGTTAACTAATAAATTAATTAGTTATTTAGTTAGTTAGTTATTTAACTAGTAAGCTATCTAACTTGATTAATGGATTAATGGATGAAAGGATAAATAATTAAAATAAGAATATTTTGGAATTAATAAGTTAATTAATTAATTAATTTAAAATGAAAATTAGGTAATAGATAGATTCAAACTATTTTTTAAATCATGCTTTTATCAAAAAAATCATATTTGTAAATAGAAAGTAATAATAAATTTAATGCAATCAATTTTAGTTATAATATTTATTTTAAATTTAAATTCGATATAGCAAGGAGTAATTAATGTTTTCAATTATTTTTGATAGAAGATTCTGATTGAGTAGCATCATATTTATTTAAAAAAGATAGTAATATATATTTTTGAGTAAATAAATTAAATTTTAAAAATATATTATAATATCAAATAGCATGTAAACTATTTTAGTTATTTGTCATAAGCAGAGAATTAAATTTATTTTTTATTTCAAAAAGCGGGTAATTTTTTCATAAATTAATTAATTTATTTTTAATTTATTGATTTATTTATTTACTAAATTACTTAGCTACTTATTTAAATTATTTTTAAACATAAATAGAAGGTAATTAAAGAAGATTATTTATTTATTTTAAATATGGATCAACTCTAATAAAAATAGGATGTAAATATAATTAATATTAATTCCAATCACCAAAATAAATCCATTCTTTATCAAAAATAGCAAGTAATATTTTGAGAATTTTTGATAGATATAGATAAATTGAAAGACAGAAAGAAATACAGATATACATACATAAATACATAAAGAAAGACAAATAAACAAACAAACAAACAAACAAACTGATAGAT